TTTTTTTTTTTTTTTTGTGGCTATGAGATAAACAAGAATGTGATTTTATTGTTTCTGCAAATCCTTTCTTCCGTAACCTCATCCAAGTTTCTTAATTTTATGCATACCTCTTTTCTTTTACTAGTACAGATCCAGTGCGATGCACGGGTGCACAAAATTAAGGTTATTTATCAAGTCTTATAATTATATAAATGAATAAAGAAAAATGTACGGGATATATATAGTACGTGACCTGTAATAGGCCAAAATGTGAACACGGGTGATGCACGGGGTGCACAATTTAAGGCCATTTATTAGTACAGAGTCCGTGTGATGCACAGGGTGCACAATTTTCTAGTATGTGTAATACAAATACATACCGTATGCACATGACAGAAGCACTAAATGAGTTATTTCCACATAGCTTGCCCGTTAAGTAGCTCCTGAACGCGGGTGCACAATTTGTAGTATGTACTATAAAATCATAACAAATTTCCATACAATTAGATAATTTATTAGCCTTTTTTATTTAAGTAAAGATTTTACGTACTTTTTTTTACTTATCGGATGTTATGAGATTTTTTTGTTAAACCGATCTTATGGGATATGATACAAATACAATTAGAGGATTGAACAAAATCAGAACAAATTTCTTTACAATTAGATAATAAGAAGGAATTAGATAAGGAAAAGAAAAATTAGATAAAGAATTTTGAATCTACCTTTTTTAGTATAGATAGACTTTACGTACAAATTTTGACTTAAGCGATTTTATGAGATTTGTTTTGACAAAATCAAAGATGAATACTGAAGGCTGTTTCTATTAACATTTACAATGTGTATTTAATGTTTTTTTTTTTTGGCAAAATATTCTTTTTAAGTGTGATATATAAATATTAAAAATACTTAATATATTTTATAACATCTATAAAAGCATCTAAAATATTCTATATTATTCACAAATAATGTTTGAAGCTACCTACATTTTTCTAAGCTACCCGTAAGGAAAATATGCCTAAAAATTCTTCATTTAACCTCCATATATGTATATATATAGAAAGAGCAAATGAGTAAAAAAAATTATACAAATAATATTTAAAAGTACCTAAAATATTAGTAATTAGACATGTGAAATTTAGATTTTTAAAAAATCTATATAGGTAATGGATTTATAGTAGTAATTAGACTTTTATTTATTTACGTTTAAAGTTGTTACGATAGATGAGGAATGTGATTTTTTTGACTCGTGGAGATGGAATTTTATAAGCTGGGTTATGAAATTTTCTTAAACTCGTCCATGCGATGAGTTTTTTAAGTTGGGTATATAGATTTAAAATTGTAAAAAAAAAAAACTTTCATAATCATTTGATTTGGTATTTGCGGAGAGCTTCATTTAATTTAAAAGTGTAAAATAAATAAATAAATAAATAAAGTACAACTGAAAAAGTTACAGCCAATTGTATGGAGAATTAAACTAAATCCAATTTTGTAGGATGCATTAAATATAGATTAGATTTTATATGTAAAATAAAATAAAAAAAATAGTTTTACGTGTTGCAATATTTTATATTTAAAAAAATTAAAAAATCTTCTTTTACGTATTGCATACCAACATTTTATGAACTAAATGGATATTCCTAAATTAATATTGCATACCCAATATTTTAGGAACTAATTAAATGCTAATTTGATTTACATACCAAAAATATTAGATGAATTAATTAAATAATTGATAAAAATAGCAAATCATTAATTAGGGTTGACTATTTTACATACTACATTTAGTAAATAGTATAGCTTTTAATATAAGTATAGATAGATATATTCTTGAGGATGAAATCTCGTACCCCAGATGACATGAACTTAAAAAATATTGAATCGAACATTTCCTTATGCTATGAAAATTGGGATTCTCTGTGGTGTTCCACGAGTTGAAAAATTACCTCAAACAAAATGATGAGGCCCTCCTTCTAGCACCATTTGTTGATGCTAAAAAATGTCAGCAACAGGGGGTGAACTGTACACTAAATCGTGTAATTTGTTCAATCTGCATGAATAGATTTGTTCCGAAAATATGGGTTGGGTACCTCTTCCATTCATGACTTTTTGATATATATCTGTTATGAGATGAATACATGAATAAAATTATCTGAAAAGCAAGTAGCCAAGCGTATGAATATAAAGCTTATTCTTATTGATCTCTTGGAAAAAAAATGTCTCTCTCTCTCTCTCTTACAAGATTTCGTTTTGATAGGATAAGATCTTGTGCGATCCCCCCACCCCCCTCCCTTTTACAATAATGATGGCCAAATATATATATGACATAACATGTGGACATAAAGTCATGTGGAATAAAATAATACAAATGATGTTTTAATGTGTTGTATTTTTATTAATCGTAGCCAAATTGGGTATCACCACAAACATATTATATCTTAAACATTAAGAGATAAATCGGGTAATTATTATCGGAGCCTTGAATTGTAATTTAGAAGCCAAATGGGGAGATCATTCTTTAGTGCACTGAAGAATTCTTCAAGTATGAGTGTAGTGTGTTTGGCCACAGTTGGGCCCATACTTAGTAAGCCCATATTTGGCATGTCGTTAGGGTATCTATTGTAGCCAATAAATACACTCCTATTTGTGGTGGAAATCATAAGTTTAAGACCTTTGTGAGTTAGTCATCAAGACAAACAAAGAGTGTGTAAGGTAATGTAATAGAAGTCTCGAGGTAAAATTGAGGCAACCGAACCTCGTCTGACATCCGCCGCCGTGCACCGCAACTATTTTCGTCTAGCCACGACCGAGCGCAGCCCGCGCCGTGACCCATTTCAAGCCGCGACATACGCATACCTAGACGCCCGACCACACGAAAGCTAGTCGCGCGATCCGAGTGCCCGCACGCAGCCCGCGACGCATGTGTCTAGCCCCGTGACCCCACGACACAAGAGGCGAGATGATTTTGATTCTGGCAATTGATTCTGACTATCTGCATCAGTGAAAATCAGAAACATCTCAGAGTCTGCAATTTTTAGTGTTCAAACCATTCTCTACTCCATTGCAGTTAGGCTTTATTTTCAGGACTTTAGCTCTCTGACATGCATTAAATAAGACGCTCCTAATTTTATATTAAAACCAATATTTTTAAAGTCCCAACAAGTTTTTCCAATCACAACTCAAATATAACTCAACCCCAACCTTATTCAATATTATCAATATAATTAAATAATATTAGTCATTCGTCCTTGCATATGACAATCAATTTTAATTCACTATTCATATACTCACATAATTTAACTAACCATCACTTTCAATCACATATCTTTGACTTTTACATCAAATTAAATTTCGTTATTTTATTCTAAATATTATTTTAATACAAAATTAAAATTTCATTAAACCTAACTAAATTAATATTAATTCTAATTAACAAAAAAATTATTCAAAACTTTAAGGTGATACAAAAAGAAAGCTCTTTCTCTCTCCTCCCCCGAAAAAAACCCAAGTTCCTCCTAACCCTTACAATGTTTTTCGGTGTCATCCCTAGCGGGGCCTTCCGAGTTCGCGGCAGTGTCGTCCCTAGGCCACCCGGCTCGATTCTCGAAGAATCACCGCCAGGAGGAGTAGTTTTCGCTGGTGGAGGAGGAGGAACTCATCCCCATATTAGTTTTTCCAGTGGTTCTGGTCGTTATGACGACGAGGCGGGTGACCAACTTCTCGGTGCCTTCGCAGAGGCAAACCTCCGATATTTTCTTCAGGTGTGGGTCGCAAGTTCGATTTTCACTTGGTGGGGATCTGGGTGGAGTTCTTTGCTTTTTTTCTACCATGTCTCGACCATTTTTTGTGCTGGGTGGAGAGGACGGTCGTCGAGGTCCGGCCGAGGTTCGACTTTCCGTGGTTTGGGCCTGGGTTGTTGGTGTTGGTTTGGGTGGTTTTGTGGTGTGGGTCTCTGGGTGTGGGTTTCGGGTTGTCCTTTTGGTTTTTGGGTTGGTCTGTCAGTGCCGGTCCTAGTTAGGCATAGTTTTACATTTTTGGTTCGGAATCGGGGTCGTGGCTTTGTCGGTATTGGTGGATGTCCATTGGTGTCGTCGTTATTTAGCTTGGTGTGGGTTGTCTTCTACGGTTCTACCGAAAGGGTTGTTAAGTTTGTTTCTTTGTGGTTTAGTGTTTTTTGTTGTGTTTCGTTTCTTTCTCTCATGTTGGAAGTGCGTTATGTGTATACTCCACTTGTGGGAGCTTTTGTTTGCTTCTCTCCTTTTGGTAGTTTCTTGGGTTTATGTTGTTTTTAGGTTAGTTACAGGTTACCATCGGCGTAGTTCTCCCAAATAAATTCAATGCTTTATTCGACCATGTGGTTTTTATATTCGACTATTATCTAATTTGAATGTTTTGTGGATATTATAAAAATCTATGGTTCCGAAAAAAAAATAATCAAAAACTTGTATCTAGCACAACTATGTGTGTGTTTGTATATCAACAAATTCATTTCATACTCAATTCATACTTAAAATTTAACTCAACTCACTATCCTCAATATTATCAGTATAATTAAATAATATCACCAAATCATTCTCACACATCACATCAACTTTAACTTACAATTTATTTACTCACATAATTTTAACTAAACTATCATTTGACATCGTCTCTCTCCTACTAACCATACTACTTTTTCAAAATTATCTCTTAGTAACTAAAATAGTTGTATACAAGCAAGCCCTAAGAATACCCTATGGATATACCGTTTTTACTTGAAATTCAATTATGCGGCGACTCCACTCCAATAAATCTCTCTCCACTCCGCCTCACATTCTCTCCCACTGCTCATTTTCATTTTCATTTTAATTTCCATGTCCATAAATTTTGTACCCTCGCCATTGTTACTCCTACACAAACCCTTACCCAAACTGCCCCCGACCTCGGCCCCCGCCATGGCCACCTGCGTCCACTCCTCCCGCACCAGAGCCCCTACTCACACCAATCCGCCCGTCGACGACTACGCTTTTGACAGCTACGTCCGCTTCTACCGCCCCAACCCGCCGGATTCCGTCTCCTGCGCCCCGATCTCGGAAAAGAAGCCCAAAATTCCCCAACCTACAAACCCTAAATTCGAAAAGGGGGCCGCCGATTTGTGGCCGCGGATGAAGGAGGAAGCCACCTCGGACGTCGACCAGGAACCCATCCTCTCCAGCTACTATTTCAATTCCATCTTATCTCACGATTCCATCGAGAGCGCCCTGGCCGACCTCCTGTCCATGAAGCTAAGCAATTCAAGCTTGCCCAGCGGCACTCTCTACGATCTCTTCATGGGCGTCCTCACCTCCGATCGAGAAATCATTAGCGCCGTTAATGATGACTTGAGGGCTGTCAAGGAGAGGGACCCCGCTTGCCTTAGCTACGTCCACTGCTTTCTCAACTTCAAAGGATTTATGGCCTGCCAGGCTCATAGGATAGCACACAACCTGTGGTCCCACGGCAGGAAAATCCTGGCCCTTTTGATACAGAATCGAGTTTCGGAGGTTTTCGCGGTAGATATCCACCCGGGGGCGAGAATCGGGAAAGGGATTCTGCTCGACCATGCAACCGGGCTCGTGATTGGTGAGACGGCCGTGATTGGGAACAACGTGTCGATTTTGCACAACGTGACCTTGGGTGGGACCGGGAAGGACTCGGGTGACCGGCACCCGAAAATTGGGGATGGGGTTCTGATTGGGGCGGGGACTTGTGTGCTGGGAAATGTGAGGATTGAGGATGGGGCCAGGATTGGGGCAGGGTCAGTGGTGCTGAAGCGGGTCCCGGCTAGGACGACTGCAGTAGGGAATCCGGCGAAGTTGATTGGGGGGAAGGAGAATCCTATCAGGCTGGATGATATGCCGAGTTTGACTATGGACCACATCTCGCACATATCTGAGTGGTCGGATTATGTGATTTAGGCTGTTGTGTGGTGTTGGTGGTGTTTTGGAGCTGTGGCTCATTTGTGTTGTGGTGATAATTGTTGGTGTGTGGTTATGTTGTTTATGAGCTATGGCTGGTTCAGTTAGATTAAAGGGATGGTGAGAGGTTGTGGGTTTTATGCTTTTAAGAGAAAACTTGGGGTTTTCCTATTGGCATGGATGAAATGTTGTCTGTGTATCTGTATGAAATACAAACCACTCTTAGACAAATTGGTTACTGTATTTGTTGTTCGAGTCTGAAACTTGGGTTTTTTTTTTGTTTTTCGAATTTTTCCTGAATACGTTGCTCGTTCAAAAATTCTTGTGTTTGTTTCAAGTAAATGTTCTGTTTTTGGGTCTCAGCATGTGCATGGTGATTTACTTCTCTTATTAGTAATGTGTTTTACCAGGCCAACTCAAAAATTCTTGTGTTTGTTTCAAGTAAATGTTCTGTTTTTGGGTCTGAGCATGTGCGTGGTGATTTACTTCTCTTATTAGTAATGTGTTTTACCAGGCCAACTCGGTGAGGCACAGCAAGATCGATCTGGTTGTTTGCATGGATTATTGGGGTTTCAGCGTTTGAGGCACAACTACAACACAACGATGCCCCTATCCAAGCCTACTTTTGAACTAAAAATAGTTTTAAGTCCAATTCAAGGAGAGCAGAGACACACTTCTGTTGCCATTGTGGGCGTCGAGCCTAAAATGTCTCGTGGAGAATTCAAGCTCTGTAATGTTTTGATTCTCAATGTGGGCAATTGTATCATGGCCGAAAGTCTGACTCAGTCGAGCTTACATGAGTTGTATTCTAATCATAAACATGACGATGGGACGAGAGGTGAATAAATGAAAAAAAAAAAAAAAATTAGAAATGAGAAACATGTGACCAAATGATAAAACTAACAAAAAATAAATTATATTTGAGATTATGTATGATTATAAACTAATATTTTAGTAAACCAGCCTAAGTGGTTAGCTTGGGAACATAATTTGAGAGCCAACAATACTCAAATTTTAAAAAATGTCATCGGAATGGACTCTTTGGTAAAATCAGAATCACGTTAAAACTGCAAATATTGTGGACTCCAAAATCATATAGTTGCTTACTTCAATATTCTACAAATTCTGCAATCATAACCTGGTAAGGGAAGCAAGCTGTAGAAATAAACACCAGCAACAGCAGTACGAAAGGAACACAATTACCGCCAACGGACAACACAAAAGATATTGAATTATACAAGGAAATCCCTAGCAACAAATACAAATATATAACACGAAAAATAATAGTGTATGAACCAACCTCTAAACAATTGCATATAATGCAGTAAAATAGAAAGCATAGGACAAGCAATCCTAAGCTGAATGACAAGGTTAAAGCTTTGTGACGCCAAATTCAGCCCTGATAAATCGCCCCAAATTCAGCCCTCCAGGCCTGATCATCATCATCCGGAAATGATGAACCGTTTTTTTGCACCATATCCGACTTATCTTGGTAAAGTGGCGAGGATCTCAAAGCGGCCTCTGGCAAGGTACTACTTCATGGTAATCATCTCCATCCGTGCTTTCTCTTCAGTTTCTCCATCTGTCTCCTCAACTTCTCGTTCTCTTCTTCAATCCCCGAATTCTTGTCATTGACAACCAACACAGTAGAAAAATGAACACCAAGCCAGAAAACATGAATTTACATTATTTCAGGCAGTCATGCAAAGAACCTGTTTTTAAGAATTTCAAATACTCCTCCACAGTTTGATTTTGTCTTGGAACTAAGGAGGTGTTCAGCTGAAAACCCTTCATCTATCTGATGCAGCTGAAGGATACTGCTGAGGCTGTACATGATGCTGGGGAGGTTCTTGTCAGGTTGAGGGAAACTGAGGAGGCTGCCAAGCTGGCTGAGGTAATAATAATAGTGAATCGTTTTACTGATCCGAAAAGAAGCTTCCCTATGTGACAGCTCAGCAGACAGCGCCTTCACAAAGCAGGCCCCGTGCCTGCTACCTGCCGCCTTAGAAGCTGCCCTCTTCACATCCGCTACAGCCTCCATCAGACCCCTGTGCTTCTCCACAAGCTCATTGTACTTCTCCTGGAGCTCCGTGTAGTGCTCAATCATCCTGGCTTGGCCCACGACCGACCTCCCCAGGGCATCGTCCAGCTCCTCCATTGACTTCTTCTCCAAAGTCAACTCATCCTCGGCCTTTTCGGCTCGCCGGCGATTGGACTCGATTTCAATCCTCAGCTCGTCGGTCAGTGAGATCCACCCACTCTCCATCTCCATCCATTTTTCTCTCTCCCTCTCGAATTCTTCCTTGTTGTTGATGGAACTTTTTCTTATCAGAATGGATTGTGACAGCAGGGAGTATCGTAGTTTGCCGGACGATGATCTTCTGATGGTGGTGCTGAGCTGGTGCAGAATGAGGAGTTTTGGACCTCTTAGATTTCACATTTTTCTTTTATGAGTTCTGGAGGTAGCTCGTGGTGTTTGTCGATGTCCCACGTGAATAAGGGCTGCCGAGGGTTGCAGCAAGATTATGGGCATGGATTCTGAAATATTACGAAAATTGAGTGTCTTTGGAGAGGTTGCTGACCTTTGAATCAGATTTATCGAGTTCATCCTCGTTTATCGAAGGCAGTTGGTTCTTCCGATCGATCTGGCACGTACATTGCTCAAGCTGCAGGAGAAAAGGCAGGAACAGTGAGTTAACTTGCTGTATTTTGGAGCTGGGCTAAGCAAATCTTGCTCTCATATGACTTGAAAAGAAAAGGAAAAGGAAAAATTATTACCTTTCTGTTTAAATGCTCGATTTGAGCTGCTTGGTCTTTACAAATGCTCTTGAGCTCTGTATCTCTTTCGATGGCCAGGACTAAGTCTTTCTCCACGCCCTATTACAGAGAATAAAATTATTAAGAGAATAAAATTATTAAGAGGTATTTAACAACTACGTGGATCTATTGAGAGACCTTTGCCTTGTCAGCTTCATTGCTATCTCCCTTGACATCTAATTCAAACAAAAATGGCACCAGATGATTGATCTGAGGTCTGAACTGAGGCATTGGCCTTTCTGCTTTCAGACACGGTTTGAGTGCCAAGTGTTCGAAAGAGAAGGACACGGATGATCTAGAAGGAGTCGAGTTCCTCTTGTGGTAGTCGATGATCTGTAGCCCTCTGTGGAGGCTAGCTGCCAAAGACTCATTAGTGCCCTCAAAAATCTTATTAGATCTCTCTGGTTTCTGTGACTGCCGAATCACGTCTACATTTTTTAAAGAACCCACCATGTCACTCTCATGATTCCATGACAGGAAAACTAGGCTTTTCCTTTGAGAACTTTTTATTTTGGGAGATTCCGATTACATTGGTTCCAGAAGGGTTGTATTAGGGGGAATATCCAGAGCAATTGAACTTCTAGAAACTTCGGTTTTATTTTCACTCGAATTGATTTCTTCATTTTCTCCTTCAGAACAGCTCATATAGTGCTCGCTAGTGTATTCTTTCTCACAGGCTTCTTCTGAGTACAATATCTTACTCTTTCTATACTTGGAATTTTCCTTCTTGTTGTCTTCACGAGAGCCACATACATTATCAATATGACGCTTTAATTCCGTAACGTCATTCTCATTGATGTGTGAAATTTTCTTCAGAATCATTTTCTATGCGTAGTAATATCAGTGAACGATTGAGGCTCAGTCTCAGCTGATTAACCCCTTGGAAATATCCATGACTGCTGCTGCTTAAGGAGTTGGATGTGCTGGATTTAGCCCTCATGAGCTCTTCCTGTATTGGTCAAAGTTAGTTATTAGATACAAAAATGCTTCTTTTGCAAAGTTCTTTTTGAAAACAAGCAATGATACCTTCAGCTGCCGAATCTGGTCGCTCAGGTCATTAACAACGTCCTCCGTTATTTCGTTCACCACAGGTTCATTCTTCATGAGTTTTGCCAGCAAGCCGAATCTGAGGGTGCTTAAGGTTTCACTACTGCTCCTGCTTGCGAAGAGAAATAAATGAGCAGCAATCTATAAGAAGCATATTGGTCGTTATCACTTCAAGCTGTAGTACAAAATATATTATGGTAAAAAACTAATCAGTGATCCCATTCCAGAAAAGGAGAATTTTCCTAGGCTTCTTGCCGTTTTCACTTTGAAAATAAAAGATTAAAGAAAGCAAACCTATAAAATGTTTTCGCTAATAATAAAGGCATGTCACCACTGAGCTTATAGCCTGCACCTATTCACATAACAGTTTTCATCTAAAATATCTGTTTTACCAAGCATCGAAAATGAGAAATTGTGCATATAATGGAGAGCTTAAAACTGAGAGAAGGCATTCTTAATGTCTGGAGAAATTGTGCAATATAACCGAGAGAGCTTAGCGTTGCCGCCAAATGATTCTCTCAACAAATGAGTCAGACGAGAGCTTCTGTATGGAACTCCTTCAGATTTCCATGATCGACTTTTCTTTTGCAAGGATATTTACTAAAAAGCCTGAAGGAGGTACAGGTATATGTGTTAATTAGACTCTTTGCAAAAGCAAAATAACAGCATTATGATCATATACAGAGCCAAGTAAGCAAAATACTATAAGCACAGTACTATGCACAACATTATACATAATTAATAAAATTAGCTATTGTGACAATTTTTGAGAGGTAGAAGAGTGAAAAAAAAAAAAAAACAGTTCCAAAACATTTGCGAGGACATAATCAATCTTTGATGTTGACTTATTAATATATTTTCCTTCTTTCAGAGATTGTATACAAGAATCTGCATGCATGTTTCTCGAAAATCCAGCTAGATCAACTAGACTGATCCGACTAATCTTTGAAATACCAAAGCACTTTGATGAGGAATCCTGCAGTAGGGATTCAACAAGTATCGTCAACCTGGTAAGGAGTTTCTTTGACGAATATTAGCTTCAGTATACACCACCTAACATTATAACAATCTCAAGGGGATGAAGAAACTCATCAGTGAAAAAAAAAAAAAAAAAAATCAGTATCAGAACTCGATTT